CTACAGCTTTTCTGTTGTTCAGGGTCAATTCCCATTGCATGGTAAAGAGCATCCAACGAGGGGCTATCCATTGTATGACTGGCCTGGAGCCCACTCATCGTAGTTGGAAAATGGTAACACTCCTGCAATGGGCCGAAGTTGGCTTCGTGAGGAATAGTGCCATGATCTCGGTCACTGATGAAATCGGAGATGTCCGAGTTTTGACCGTCATCTTCGCCGTCGCTGACGATCTCGTGCATCTAACTGTCTGCAGGTACGATCTCAGCGATTGGTCGGTGCGGACGATGGAAAACCAAATGAAACGGGGCAACTATTCAGCGGCGACAAATAAGCAATTTGAAAGTGACAAATGACACAGTGGCATGGGTTGTCGTTTGACTCATGAAGTGGGTTTAGAGTCATGATAGAAGGTTCTGGAAACAATGGCATGGTATGTACTGCACCGGTAAGGGCTATGTATTGCTGAGTCCAGGATGGCCAAAGTATGCGCCCTTGTTGAGAATCATCTGGACGATGTTGTCGTGGCCTCTAGATGATGCAATATAAAGAGCGTTGCCATATCTGCCGCCTTGAGCGTTGACATCTGTGCCATTATCGAGAAGCATCTGGACAATGCTGTCGTGGCCTCCTGATGATGCAATATAAAGAGCGTTGCCATACTTGCCGCATTGAGCGTTAACATCTGCGCCCTTGTCGAGAAGTTTCTGGACGGTATTCTGCCGGCCCTCCAAAGAACCCCAAATTAGTGGTGTGCGACCATCATTGTCCCTTGAGTTCAAAGCAGCGGCATCTAAGGCGAGTAGTCTCGATAACACTTCGCCATGCCCATTTAATGCAGCCAAATGCGCACTGTTAAGGCCATCTCTCGCTTCGTATTGATAGTTTGTTCGCCAAAGGATTGAGACCCATGTTTTGAAACGCTGATTTTGCATCTCATACAGCCGCAACATCTACTTTTGTAAGCCCTCCTTTGGGTGATTTGCGTCTCGCGAGTGTGAAGGCCAGTGTATTGCAGAATATTCCAAAAAGGGGTAATGGGTTGTGACGTTATCTGGCTTCCGTCTATCAGCACGGGGCCGACCTTGTTGAATATCCCCAAATAACAAATATTGAACACAAATTTGCGTCATTATCGTCTCTGAATCTGGTCTGTAGAGGGAATGTTTCCAACTATTTTCTATCGAATAGTCGGAAATAACCTGTGTGATGAGAAATTCCTTCGCTGTCTGGTGTATGAGGTAAATTCGGTCATCATTGATAAACACAAAAAGCCCACAAAGCTCCCTGATCTGTGACTTGATATGATTGCGATTGAGATCAAGGTCCTCATGTCTCTGAGCATCCGATGAGTCCGTGGCCAGTTGGAACGCCACATCCATTTCGGAGAGTGTGAGTGGTCGGCGAGCGCCAACGACGATGTGAAGAAGAATACGTGCCTCTTGTTGTTGACTAGGTCTGAGTCTACCCAAGATCTTCTCGTAGGCTTCTTCTACTGTTGCTGGGAGAGTGTCAAGTTCCTTTATGAAAGCCTTCTTGCGCCGCTTTGAGCTTTGATAGACCTCGTCAATGACAAGGTGTAGCCAAAGATAGGTTCGATGCGGAACTGCTAAGAGTCTTTGCTCTAACGCGGTCTGCGCTTCCGGACTCATGTCAAGTTTGCGCCCGGCTGTGGCTACCTCGTGTCTGATAACGAGGTTGATCTCCTCGCTAATATCAGCATTACTCTCTTCGCCAGCAAGGCGAATCGTTCGAGGTTCGGGTATGTCGCGAAACTCAGATTCGATATCCTGATAGGGTCGACTAGTCACTAGGAACTTCAATTGAAACTTTCTCGTAGATGTCGTTTGCCGGTTGTAGAAGTTCGTTAGAAGCCTGATGACCTTTCGTCGGTCTTCAAGACAGCACTCGTCTAGAGCGTCTAGAACACAAGTGACACTGACTGCTTTATCGTCCGTAGCAGCAGCTATGAAGATACGCCAGAGCTCGTCCACTTCAGTCTGCAATTTCTTTCCGTTCTTCTCAAAGGCCGCCATGGCTTGGCGGATAAGGAGTGGCTGACGGCCGAAAAGCTGATGAAGAAGAGCGCATAAGGCTGTCGCGAGGGTGTTTTGGTCGTCGTTGTCCTTAAAGAAGAAGTAGCACGTTGTATGCTCGTTCGACTGTTGTATCTCCTCCTTGATAAGGAATTTAGCTAACACAGACTTTCCACAGCCTGGGTCAGCCGAAATCCAAAGGAGGTCATCCTGGCGGCTCTGCTGCCAGTTTATGTATCGTGGATGCTCTAAAACCCAATTGCATGTGCCCTTGACTCGGTCAGGGTTGATTTCCATGAACTTCTCATATGTACTTGTTTTAAGTATAAGATGGCATTTACGCTGTTTCTCGTTCTCGTATTTGATCTCCTGCTTCTGCGTCTGTGTCGAGATGGCCTTACTTATACTAGAAACAAGATTCCGAAGGTGAGGATCTGCTTTGGGTATTAGTATCCAATTATTCCTGTAGAGAAAAATTGACTAGAGAGATAACCTCAGATGGTGGATTTTGTATAGGTAAGGACGAAGTAATTAAAAGGTTCAGACTAAGAATTATCTACTTACCAGACACTAACTGCGGTATAGGCTTCTCCTGCAGGACCCTATCTGGCGGTATGACTGAAAGAAGCTCCTTTGCAAACGCGGCTGCTGTTGTAGCCGCGTATTCTTGCCACCGTTTGTTCTTGTGAGAGTCCGCGTAGTCGCAAATACCACGGATGACTAGGCACGGAAAATCTTGTAGTCCGGCAGCCTCCATCTCGAAGCAGAGCACCCCAAGTTCTTTGCTTAACTTGTCGCGTGTCTCTCCGTGCTTGATCACCTGATTGCCTGAGGCAATATTACCGTAATAAATGACTGGATCCGTGTCATCTCTGTCCTCCCGCTGAATCTTCTGCTTGTGATCACACTCATCACAAGTAGAGTCTGGATCGACATGTTCGTACTCTGCTTGGAAGAGGTAATCGTGGAGAGCGCCCTCATAACTGAATTTCTTCTTCATGGTCTTTGGGCTTTTGCTGATAAGCTCAGATACAAACTGGGGGATTCTGTTGTCTTCGATCAGGTGATCGGCCTGGAGACGACTCAGGGCGGCTAGTAGGACCTGGGGTGGCGTGTTGAGCGATCCTGTACGTTGCAACTCTCCCTCCTGCACTGCCTTCCCCCGATCGTACTGGATGACACCACCACTTGTTCCAGCGGGTTGGCTAACCACGATGTCGCCCAGCCGGATGTCATGTTTTCGCGACGGTACACCACCGCCGATTCCAACCATCAAGCCAAACCGGATTGACTTGAAGGTCCGCAACAAATCCTTCGCGACCGTGGCAGCTGGTGTTGTGCCATAGATGCCTGCAGGCAGGCAGGCGATGACGACGTTATGGCCTTGGACCTGACCCAAGACGTAGCTATTATGGTCGGCTGGATCCTGCCAGGGCAAGTTCGGATGAACTTGATCGAGCATTCCTTTCGCGGCAGCCATCTCCAACGGGAGGGCACACACCCAGCCCACGGTATAGTCCTCTGTTGCGACAGGAGCATCTCCCTCCGGCCGATCAACACCACTCTTTCTCTTTTTTCGGGGTTGGAAGTCGCCGGCATCGGAATCTTCAAGGGCATTAGAAAGAACTACTGAGGACTGGCTACCCAAACTCCAAGGGGGGCTCACCAGACTCTGAGCTGCGGTCACGCTTGAGCGGGCCGCTGATGCTGTCTGCGCCGCTCTTGTCGCTGTCTTTGATCCTCGGGTTGTACATCGTTTGTTGCTTAGCTGCCGGCAATCGTATCTTCGAGTTGGGTTGTGGCGGTTGAACGACGTAGCAGGTGTGGAGGACTAGAAATCTTACGTCTCTGGGCTCGAACAGATCACAGACGCATTGATTTCAGAGCCATTCGAGAGGAAGGCCTGCTACTTGAACGTAAGCTGCTAGATCAGCTCCACATTACTTGCACAATGCCCACAAATGAATGCAGTCCAGGTTTAGACCCCTCATCGTATCTTGATAGGTCATCTTTTAAGATGCGTTGATGCCTGAGATGACTTGGCCAAGGCTAAATGCATAGGCAGTACAGCCATGTGCGAATTTAGTGTCCTCTTCGTACTCTTCGTAATGGAAGCGCACGGGCCAGCGGTACAGTAGAGTACTTTAAAAGACAGCACGAAGTCGGAAATGGCAAACAGTTGGCACTCCTAACAGCGAATTTAGCCAGTTCCGGCTTGTACTCAGAGGTCGTACCAAGTAGCTTCATTTCCACCAACGAATTACTGATTTATATGGGGAACATCACAGTGCACTTCTGGGCAAGTGGTACCAATCCTGCTTACCCCAGTACACTCTGCGTAAATAATATTCTCTTTGTCATTTCCGAGGCCGTCCTTTTCGACCCCTGCCCCACCCAATCGTCTCTGTAAGTGAACTACATAGTTATTTGAGAGCGCATCCTAGATCCGGGGTAAATGACTATGGAAGAACAATCAGGTCTATCAAGGGACATGCTTCTGCATGAAGAGACGAGACCATGTTGCTCAGGATGCACTTTGCGAGGACTACCGGTATTGACAGTGTACCATCTGCCCCCGCGATGCGCCTCGACGTTGATGCCCAGGCGGATTCTTATGGCTTCAGTAGTAGTCCTTGGCCGACACAAGGCAGAATTGAGGCAAAATCACCTCAGGCATAAACGCATGGTGAGAAGCTGACCTTCAGCATATGATAGGTCGGAGGGGAAATAATGAGGGGTCGGGCCCTGGACTGCAGCCGTTTATCGGTAACATGTAACCAACGTAAGGCTGACCTAGCACTTCACGTCCAAGATGCAGGACCCCCCCTCGTAAGGCTGCGAAATCAATGCGTCTGTAATCTGGTTAAGCCCAGCGGAGCCAGACTTCCACCAATTCACGCCTGCTATGTAATCGACCCAACCAAATCCAACTCGAAGATACGATCGCCAGCAGCCAACCGACGAAAGATGTACAACCCGAACACCAAAAAGTTAGGTGATGACAACGATATGAGCGCCGCAGACAGCAAGAGCGGCTCGCTCAAGCATGGCCGCACCTCAGCGCCTGGTAAGCCCCCTCGGAGTCTGGGATGCCGGTTCTTACCAGTTCTTTCTGATCGCGTTGTCAGACTCTGATGCCGATGACTTCCAACCCCGAAAAAAGAGAAAGAGTGGTGTTGATCGGCCGGAGGGAGATGCTCCTGTCGCAACAGAGGACTATACCGTGGGCTGGGTGTGTGCCCTCCCGTTGGAGATGGCTGCCGCGAAAGGAATGCTCGATCAAGTTCATCCGAACTTGCCCTGGCAGGATCCAGCCGACCATAATAGCTACGTCTTGGGTCAGGTCCAAGGCCATAACGTCGTCATCGCCTGCCTGCCTGCAGGCATCTATGGCACAACACCAGCTGCCACGGTCGCGAAGGATTTGTTGCGGACCTTCAAGTCAATCCGGTTTGGCTTGATGGTTGGAATCGGCGGTGGTGTACCGTCGCGAAAACATGACATCCGGCTGGGCGACATCGTGGTTAGCCAACCCGCTGGAACAAGTGGTGGTGTCATCCAGTACGATCGGGGGAAGGCAGTGCAGGAGGGAGAGTTGCAACGTACAGGATCGCTCAACACGCCACCCCAGGTCCTACTAGCCGCCCTGAGTCGTCTCCAGGCCGATCACCTGATCGAAGACAACAGAATCCCCCAGTTTGTATCTGAGCTTATCAGCAAAAGCCCAAAGACCATGAAGAAGAAATTCAGTTATGAGGGCGCTCTCCACGATTACCTCTTCCAAGCAGAGTACGAACATGTCGATCCAGACTCTACTTGTGATGAGTGTGATCACAAGCAGAAGATTCAGCGGGAGGACAGAGATGACACGGATCCAGTCATTTATTACGGTAATATTGCCTCAGGCAATCAGGTGATCAAGCACGGAGAGACACGCGACAAGTTAAGCAAAGAACTTGGGGTGCTCTGCTTCGAGATGGAGGCTGCCGGACTACAAGATTTTCCGTGCCTAGTCATCCGTGGTATTTGCGACTACGCGGACTCTCACAAGAACAAACGGTGGCAAGAATACGCGGCTACAACAGCAGCCGCGTTTGCAAAGGAGCTTCTTTCAGTCATACCGCCAGATAGGGTCCTGCAGGAGAAGCCTATACCGCAGTTAGTGTCTGGTAAGTAGATAATTCTTAGTCTGAACCTTTTAATTACTTCGTCCTTACCTATACAAAATCCACCATCTGAGGTTATCTCTCTAGTCAATTTTTCTCTACAGGAATAATTGGATACTAATACCCAAAGCAGATCCTCACCTTCGGAATCTTGTTTCTAGTATAAGTAAGGCCATCTCGACACAGACGCAGAAGCAGGAGATCAAATACGAGAACGAGAAACAGCGTAAATGCCATCTTATACTTAAAACAAGTACATATGAGAAGTTCATGGAAATCAACCCTGACCGAGTCAAGGGCACATGCAATTGGGTTTTAGAGCATCCACGATACATAAACTGGCAGCAGAGCCGCCAGGATGACCTCCTTTGGATTTCGGCTGACCCAGGCTGTGGAAAGTCTGTGTTAGCTAAATTCCTTATCAAGGAGGAGATACAACAGTCGAACGAGCATACAACGTGCTACTTCTTCTTTAAGGACAACGACGACCAAAACACCCTCGCGACAGCCTTATGCGCTCTTCTTCATCAGCTTTTCGGCCGTCAGCCACTCCTTATCCGCCAAGCCATGGCGGCCTTTGAGAAGAACGGAAAGAAATTGCAGACTGAAGTGGACGAGCTCTGGCGTATCTTCATAGCTGCTGCTACGGACGATAAAGCAGTCAGTGTCACTTGTGTTCTAGACGCTCTAGACGAGTGCTGTCTTGAAGACCGACGAAAGGTCATCAGGCTTCTAACGAACTTCTACAACCGGCAAACGACATCTACGAGAAAGTTTCAATTGAAGTTCCTAGTGACTAGTCGACCCTATCAGGATATCGAATCTGAGTTTCGCGACATACCCGAACCTCGAACGATTCGCCTTGCTGGCGAAGAGAGTAATGCTGATATTAGCGAGGAGATCAACCTCGTTATCAGACACGAGGTAGCCACAGCCGGGCGCAAACTTGACATGAGTCCGGAAGCGCAGACCGCGTTAGAGCAAAGACTCTTAGCAGTTCCGCATCGAACCTATCTTTGGCTACACCTTGTCATTGACGAGGTCTATCAAAGCTCAAAGCGGCGCAAGAAGGCTTTCATAAAGGAACTTGACACTCTCCCAGCAACAGTAGAAGAAGCCTACGAGAAGATCTTGGGTAGACTCAGACCTAGTCAACAACAAGAGGCACGTATTCTTCTTCACATCGTCGTTGGCGCTCGCCGACCACTCACACTCTCCGAAATGGATGTGGCGTTCCAACTGGCCACGGACTCATCGGATGCTCAGAGACATGAGGACCTTGATCTCAATCGCAATCATATCAAGTCACAGATCAGGGAGCTTTGTGGGCTTTTTGTGTTTATCAATGATGACCGAATTTACCTCATACACCAGACAGCGAAGGAATTTCTCATCACACAGGTTATTTCCGACTATTCGATAGAAAATAGTTGGAAACATTCCCTCTACAGACCAGATTCAGAGACGATAATGACGCAAATTTGTGTTCAATATTTGTTATTTGGGGATATTCAACAAGGTCGGCCCCGTGCTGATAGACGGAAGCCAGATAACGTCACAACCCATTACCCCTTTTTGGAATATTCTGCAATACACTGGCCTTCACACTCGCGAGACGCAAATCACCCAAAGGAGGGCTTACAAAAGTAGATGTTGCGGCTGTATGAGATGCAAAATCAGCGTTTCAAAACATGGGTCTCAATCCTTTGGCGAACAAACTATCAATACGAAGCGAGAGATGGCCTTAACAGTGCGCATTTGGCTGCATTAAATGGGCATGGCGAAGTGTTATCGAGACTACTCGCCTTAGATGCCGCTGCTTTGAACTCAAGGGACAATGATGGTCGCACACCACTAATTTGGGGTTCTTTGGAGGGCCGGCAGAACATCGTCCAGACACTTCTCGACAAGGGCGCAGATTTCAACGCACAAGGTGGCCACTACGACAACGCTCTTTATGCTGCATCATTAGGAGGCCATAACAGCATCGTCCAGATGCTTCTTGACAAGGGCGCAGATGTCAACGCACAAGGTGGCCGCTACGGCAACGCTCTTCATGCTGCATCATTAGGAGGCCATAACAGCATCGTCCAGACACTTCTCGACAAGGGCGCAGATGTCAACGCACAAGGTGGCCGCTACGGCAACGCTCTTCAAGCTGCATCATTAGGAGGCCATAACAGCATCGTCCAGACACTTCTCGACAAGGGCGCAAACGTTTACGATCACAGGCAATATGGTGCATAGCCCTCCCCTGCTATTCAGAGAGTCATGTCGTTGTTTCTAAGACCTCTCTTGTACATTTGAACCACTTTGCCAGTCAGATGAAGACTTGTTTTGCTGTATCATGTGTAGATTGAAGGACGAAAGGCTCCCTCAACATTCAAAAGGCAGGTCTTCATGCTTCAACCTACACCAACCTGGCCCCTTAGATAGCCCAAACTGAGCTGCGATCTCAACGCGCAACGGCGCCATCGTAGATACCCTGGAACAGACTATTGCTCATAATGAGGTGTGAGGTAAAAGTATTGCCGGCGCCATAAGCTGCTTACTGCGTGGATAAAATGCCGGCTCGGATACAACGATACCTATATAACTCTAGGCGTGACTGGGAGGAAGCCGCTTGTTGCTGACGCTGTCGGATGTGTAGTAAACGTAGGCCATCAGCTGCTCCGGGCTCCCATCACTTTGATTATCTCGATTGAAGTCAGCTGTCAGCATCCTGACCAATAAGTCATTCCGGGCTCCCATGAACAGGAGTAGCGTGGTCTCTGTCAAGGTACCCCTGGCCTGCCATGTGCCTAATCCATGCAAGGTCTGTGCTCAACAGACAAACCATACTGGCGAAGCGGACACCGATTTTGCGATCCTCTGTACGTCTGTCTGTCTTCTTTGGATGGAAAGTGCGAGCCAGCCTAAGGATGGGAGCTGTGTGGATAAGGTGATGAGGGAGAAGAAGAAGCGTGTGTGAGAGGGTTGAAGAGCATGGGACACAGTTTTGGGGTATTGGGATGAACATGTGGGAGGTTGATAAGACGATGCTTCATGGGAACTCGCAACGGACGAGAGCATATGGTGGGACGCAGTGTAGGTCTAATGCATTTCTCGGGGGCCTTGCGTTGGCAAAGAATCATTTTGGAATATCGAAAGTGATACTTATTCGACGGAAAACCTCTGAGCTAGGAAAAAACGAAAGTACTTGCACGCCGACATCTAATGAGGACACTAAGGAATGAGAGAAGTGGCATGAGTGTCTAGGTAACTCAACGTTGGGAGAGCTGGCCATCCTTCGAAAACCCGGGCCGAAAGCACCGACAGGTACGGAGGCTACAGATGATCTTCCTAGTAGCGTTGCGTCGCATCTAGACCTGCACCGGAGTATGATTGTCATCGAGGCTGCGGGGCCGGTGGAGACGATGCAATGCCCCCATGGTGGCCGACTATAACCTCAAATTTGGGCATGATGTGTGTTCTGAAGTGCACACTCATGTCGTCACCGCCTGCCGTCGAGATGGAATACATCTCGTTGCCTACCTCAATGCGTATCTCCTCAACCACCAAACTGTTCAGCATATCGGAACAGAACTCTGACGCGAATACATTATCAAACGCTTGCCACTTTCTACCCACATGGGTGAGGGCTGCGCTCTGCAGCGCCATGTAGCTTGGCATGCAGTCCCAGATAATGCGACGATCACCATGACCGTGCCATTTGACAACCAGGCGGACTGCCTTGGTGGGCGTCGATGAGACAGGCGTTCTGGCGAGGTTTTGGGGATGGGGTGGTTGCATCATAGGTTGAATGCTTGGTGGTGGTGGTGGTGGCGGCAATGCGCGAACTGCGAGCGGGTGGCCATTTAGGTTGTTCAACTTCCCCCCTGAACCGGCAGGGTAAGCTTTCGAGGCTACAGTCGGCAGCATGGGGTCTTGGTGCCTTGGGATGTGAACCACAGCGGTGTGGTTCCTCTTCTTTACATTCGTTGGCCCAGAGTCGATTGGGACTTTCTCTCCCTCAGATGACGAGGAGGAGGATGAGGCGTAGCCCTGGAGCTTCTTGTTCTTCTGGCGGAAGTTTCTGCGGCGAGATGAAGATTCACTCGGTCTGCACCTTGTGCCAGCTTCGTTGTCGAAAGGTGAGAGTAGGCGAGAAAGTGGGAGTCTAACGTTGAGACGGGAAGTTCAGCCCGGCGCAAAGCAGAAATTTATGATGGCGTCCAGCCGTGGCCGTCGTCTGACATGCCAACCGATCCAACGCGTTGTGTCTAAGATGCGCATAGAGTAACCCATCGGAAACCTGACTAGAAGTACCAGAAACGAATCTTTCCACGGAAGAGCAGCCAAAGCTCTTACATATACCCAAGAACCAAGGGCTTCGTCGAAGCATGAGCAGCTCTGTTCCAGACAATGGCGTCCATAACGCGCGGCGCCGGACTTCGCAAGGTAGAGAGTGCCCTGTGGCATCACAAAAGGTGCATACAGTGGGTGTCATGGTAGATACCGGGTTCACCTCCGGTGCCGACTCGTTCTACCAGGTCAGCTCCAAGAGCGTATGAAAATGAACCAATCTATTCGCAATGGCGGCATGAAGAGTGCTATCTAGAAACGCTGCGGTCATCATGACAGTATCTTTCGCATCAATCAGTCGAAGCCTTTATGACAATTGACGAGCGGTTCTGATAGAAACTGGTCCAGGGTATCAAGATGTCGATGCGGCAGAAGAGCATGATCAACAGCTCTTTGGACCCGCTGCCTTGAGCCACTTTCTTCATGTACGAGTCGAATACAATTCTAGATGTTGTAAGAATGCACAGAAGTCAACAAAAACCATTCTCGGACAGAAGTGGCTTGCGTAAGGTAATGTAAGCTTGGATTATATATTCACTCGACCTTGAACGGCACCAACAGATCTCCGGTCATAGGCAAATGGAGTAGCACCACATACCATCAGAGCAGCATCAATAACGTGCATCATTAGTCTGGAGTCCAACACTAATGCAACATAAGATGTAGTACAATCAAGCAAGAATAAGACTAATCATTTGGTGATGAAGGAGTGTTGAACATCCTTCGTAAGTGCATATCAGGTTGAATCTGAGTCGCAAGTACAACGATACAAACAAAGATGGGAAATTGTAGTAATGCCTAGAGCCTCTTCAACGGACTCAAGGCTTCTTAGCCCAGATAGAGTAGCCTCCCCACGGTTGCCTCAGCCGCAAGATGTCCCCTTCCTGTTTCCACTCATTCTTATCCGTAGTGACAGTTTTCCCCTCCCAAACAAATTTGTAACCGCCGAACGTTCTTTTCTCGACGGTCACGCGTTTTTCTCTCCGCGAAACTCTATGTTTCGCTCGGTCCCTGTTGCTCGGGGCGGCTCGAGATGAACTAGCCTCTGGTTGAGGTTCAACCATAGGGGCGTCATGGGAGTCACCTATCTCCATAGTGTTATATTGGGAATCCCCGAGGTCATTGTCGGCTTCTTGCAAGTGCTCCGTGTACGAAAAGCCAGTGGCCGCTATGCTGCCTGATTCGGCCTCAACGACTGGGTCATGGTTTTGCTGTTGCCATTCTTCCTCTCTCGCCTGGCTGTCCAGCGCTGAGATATTCTCCTCCATGAGACGTTGCTGCTCCTGCGCCTCGAGCCGCTTTTGCATTTGGGCAAGTTTGAACATCCAGTCTGGCGGCGCCACTAGGTAGACCAGGGCCCCGAAGTCCTCAAGAGGACGAATCTCCTCGTTCTTCACGAGACTTCCAAGTCGATGCCATTCAAACTGTCCAAATGGCAAACTGATGTCAATGTAAGCGCTGCTATCGCCTCGCGTGTTGCCACCGAACAGAGGTTGAAGACATTTCGTTGTGCTGTTGATCACCCAAAGGCGGAATGTTGTCCCGGATGTCGTCTGGCAGTATAGTTGAGACAAGCTGAACGCCTCCATTACCAACAATGACTTTTTTTCCACGTCATCTTCAGCTTTCTTGACTTCAGAATCTCGAGCTCCAGGTCTCTTGTCCTCCCCCGTGACAACCTTGGTTTCTTGTTCACCATCATGCGTTATTTCCGACACGGTTCGGTCGAACTTGAGATTACTGTAAGCATCTGGATAGTCTTCGCGAGCGGTAAGAAATCCTTGTGCCACTGGATACATGGCTTGATTCTCGAGATCCCAGTATGAGTTTGTGTTGGCCTCGCGGGGGTTTGTATGCACATTTTTATATCTGATACGCCTCCCAGTTGCGAATGGGTCGACAAGAGCCATGTTATGAACGGCAATCAGAGTGTTGTTACGGCCAGCTAGTCGTAGTGAGTGTGTTTGCAGAAGTTAAGGCTGCGATACTAAGTAACAGTGTGTCGTAGTCGTGGATAGCTTCCTTGAAGCTATGTCTGTAAGTCGTGAGGTAGGTAAGGCTTCGGTGATCAATCGTAGTCTCGTCAGAAGGATTCTCAGGGAAGATAGCTGAAAGCGATCGTAAGATCTGATATTAAGTTGATTGCTGAAGAAGCTATGGAAAGTCTGTCCTTGAGCCCGGCTCAAGTTCATCCTATATACAAGTCCCGTATACTATCTGAACAGTTCCTTTGTAGTTGGGACCGACATCACGATGTCGGTCCTACAGGGGCGGACCGCCTTTGTCTCGTCGGTCCTGTTCATGGCCCGCTTCTCGTCCGTCGGTCCTTCTTATCATCCCGTGACTTGTCCATAGTTCTTCCGACCCGAGAGGAGTCATCCTGAGTTCGTGCTTCCGCATATATGGTGTGGTAGCCGCCGCAGGTCTTGTGGGGCAAGACCCTGGCCTCGTCATACGTGTTGGGTCGTAGCGAGTGTATGGAGAGTGAACTTGACAAGACTGATCTCGAGACTACAGCCAGGACGACAATTTATATTAATTATTGAGTTAGGTCTTTTGTTCACCTCATTTTCTCATTTTCTCATTTTCTCCCTCATCAGGCAACAGGGCACAGCTTGTCAGGCACCAATCTCCCCATTCCTTTGTGTCGCCATGGAATACACTTGCTTTGGGGCAAATTCCTTCCTACTCGTCTTTCCCTTCCATTTGGCAAGACTTTTCAGAAGTTTCATGTCCAACCCCACCAAGAATTAATTCCGACGGTCGCATTCTAGCCAGCAACTCTCAATGGAACAATCGCAATTAGGCAGAGATATAGACATCTGCAAAGCTGTTTCTGAAAAGTAGGACAAGTGTTTGTCCTGATGTTCCAAAAGCCAAAAGAGCGGTGCTAAAATTCAGACAGCTACATGTGAATGGAGTCGAATCAGATCAGCATACGGTCCGGGATCTTGACAGGAAAGTCCCGGCACAGGGGTCTCAGGCACCCATTGCGATCGTCGTTGACATGACGGATCCAAAAGGGCATATACGTGTCTTCGACAGTGCATTGGACCAAGTTGGTGTGGTTCAGGGCGGGGAGAACAGGGGTCAAATGGTGATGGTAACTTGGAAAGAAGATTGGGGGTATATTTTCTTCGGGGAGGGAAGCTGCACAATCTACCATATCTATGCTAAGGAAATGACCTGATCCGATTCCGTCAAGTACTTGATCACTTCTCTAGGACCGCATCTGAATGTGATGAACGGCCACTGTTCACTGTCAGGGACCGTAAGTGATTGTTGTAGATCCGATCGCCTGGTCAGTGCCAGGAGTCGGAAAGTAGTTTCCACCGATATGTTGTAGACCTTCCCTTTCAGTGGCGCTATCCAACATCAGCAGGTGTACCAGTCGGCCGGAAAGTGGGGTTCAACAAACCGTTGCTGACTGGTGGACCGGTGCTGGGCTCAGTGGTGCCGGCCTCACTAAACACTTCTTCTCTCGGTGATGTTGCGCGCCTGATCTTCTGCGCGGTCGACTGGCTATGCGCAGCCGTGTCGCTCATCTTACGCTTAGTTCGGCCCTGCACTTGGCCGGAGATGGCTATCGTGGCATTAGAACTGATCCGGCCACCTGAGAGTTTACCTATCATTTGCCCCAATTTTTGCCTTGAGTTCAGTCTTGTAGCTCTTGATATTAGCCCCGAAATTGACGGCAACAGCCTGCAATAATCCCGTGATTTTGTCCTTCATCTCGTCAATGAAAGAGCTGAGTTGCCCGATTTCGTATAGAGTGGTCGGTCCGAATGTAAAAGCACACAGCAAAGACATACGGAATCCCAGGTCCTCATGAACCTTGGTCAGGAATACGCATGCGCCCTTACGCTTTGACCGTGTCGATGATGGGTCGTCGGACTCGCGACCGTCCTCAGGAAACAACCCGATCGAGGAGCGAAATTTCCTGACGTGCTTGGGGCTGGGCGAATTGTGGGTGTGAAAGTGGTTGATAACATTTAGCAAGGATTCAATGTACTTTTCCATGTCTGCTTGTACCACAAACGCCGGATACGGGCGGGGAGGATCAAAGCATACAAAAAGAGCTGGAAAGCAGGAAAACAGGAAAACAGGAAAACGGGAAAGCAGGAGAATGGGAAACTGGGAAAATGGAAAAGGAGTCGAGAACATAGGTGACTGGAAGAGCATATGAAAAGTGGTTGTCGGCTATCCTCGGTTATTCTAGGCGCTGTTCTGGGAACACCCGTCGGCCTACGGTGGGATGACTCATCATAGTTCCAGCTGCAGCGCTTCCAGATGAGTTTGCTTGGTTTCAGGCTCCTCACATTCACAGATCGATAGAACCGACATGGCGAAACGTAGATCCGAGACACTTGCAGTCAAATCACCGGCTGGCTCCGTAATGAACCGAGATTCTCTTTGCGATTTCTCCTACCTGCAAGAAACGTTCATCATGCTCTGTTCAAGACGATGACGAGATCTATTTGTGTGCCACGACTCTGCGGACTTTGCCGCTTTGAACTCCAGTACGGAGATGACATAGTGGCAGGCAAGTCTTCCACAACCCTTTTCAGTCCCAGTCCTCTGACCCCCTTAGTACGGCGATCCGATAGGGATATTTCTCCATCGTACAAGTATAGTATCGGTGGTTTTATCGATAGCACTCTGGATGTCGATTATGTAAAGTGTCGTGGACGATGCAACCATGATGAGCAACGGATTGGGTGCCATGTTATCTGCGTCGAAGTTACGTCTCCGGAAACATTCACGAATATTCTTGATGTTGCAGCACATGCATTCGAGCCTCCAGCAATTGCGGATATACGGCGTATTCGCTGGTTCCAGTCCTATTTAGCCGATCTCCTTCAAACAGCTGATTGCCGCATCTCAGATTTGCCCAGAGAAGTCTTTTCTGACATCGCTGCCTGGGCTTTTGATGATCGATCGACGTGTCACCGCTTGGCCGTCTACTTTGCCAACCAAACATGTGCCAAGACCGAGGGCAACGCTTCTATCCAGATTTCGGAGAAGGTCTATGCTAGGCACGTTGAATTCGAAGGTGTTCAATACATCGGCCATCTGAGGAACACGCCCGGTGGCAACCAAGATTTCCTTTTGTTTGATCCAAGCCTCTCGACATCTATCAACAGCTTGTACATTGCAAGCGACCATCTCGGTATCCGTTGCGTGGTCTTCGTCGACTCATCGAAACCATGTACGATTGAAGAAGAAATTGGCCTATGGTGGCAAGCCGTTAAATTGGAAGACATTGGCGGCCTCATTCAGATCCGCAGTGACGTGAGCTTCGGTATACCCCAGCGATTCTAGGCGAGCGTGCTAACTCAGAGCTGTCAGGGTTTAAAACTGCGTGAGCTTGTCGACGATACAATAGTGTCGCAAAATATCTACTGGGGTCTCCCGTATCTCTCGTCCGTGTGTAGCCGATTCGAAGAAATCTGTGATGCAGAACCAAGCAATCACATGTCTGTAGTATCTTGCAACGATCCACAGACTACAGCCTACTCACTTTGTTGGAATTGGGAGATTCTGATGCTCCATGCGCACCGTGTCGGAGAGAGTCTCGACTTTTATCAGGCCTTACGGACGATGGATGAAGCTGCGATATGGCTTTACACGCCACTTCACGAAGGCGAAGTACTGACGCAAATTTGGAAATTCGAGGGCGAGCTGAGGACTGCAATTGGCTTACTAGTATGTGTTGATCCGTTCATGTTCCATGTCGAAGCCTGCTCACAATGCATAGCTCGTAACGGATCAAGGACGTTCCACCTTTCTAGGAGTGCAGCCACGGCCAAACTGGGGCCGATCTAAGTGGACTCTTCTTTACCTGCCTGGCAAGGCCACAAGTCACATTTACGCTGAGACGACGGCTTGTGGCGTGCGAAGACTCGGCTTCCCATCACCTCGACCTGAACATCAAGTTCAAAATCCAGCAGTCGAGTGGCCAACCCCATATCCTATCTCTCGTCACGACGAGTATTACGCCTGGAATAGAGCTAGGCTTACGGACGTGGTTGAGATTGTCCCATGCCATCGCCAACGCATGGGCAAACCAATCATTATTGGACTTCTCCTTCGCTATGCCGACGGAACCTCAGCCTGTGTTGGTCAAATCCGACTTGACTGCTTACAAAGAGCTACGACTGTCGACCCGAATTCTACGCTGTGGTTAGGGTTCTGGTTGACTGGTGATGGGCCTTGCGTAGGGAGCGCCATCTTGGCCAAAGAACAACCAATCGTACCAGCTTGCGAAAGTTGGTTTGAGGTGGAGTGGCGCGACGACCTCCAGTGGTGGTTTTCCAATAAGAAATGCCGACTGTCCCACCAAGAGCGTCTCAGTCCTGATACCACCAAGAAATGGAGGATATTTCGTTGAAAGCGATGGACCTGGGGAGCACCATCTCTGGTTGGTATTAATCAACCAGGTAAGCTGGGGTAGTCCGTTCTGCAGATCCGTCAAAGGGTCCGTAATCCATTTCAAGGTAGTTGCAGCATTCAATGTCTGAGATTTGAGACCCAAAGCCGTTGAAGCTGGGATGGTGACCATTTCATAGCCGGTTCATGTGACCTAGCGGACGGATCACCTGACTTTCAGCTGGTTCGAGCACACTTAAGAGTTTGCGGCAGTTGCTTCCTAGATGACTAGATTCCGAATTCAGCTACATCAATCTATCCCCACGTCTGACTTTTGTCTATTAATCAAATGGGCCGCTTGCCGACTGCGTCCGAGCATAATATGACTCGAATTGGCCCCGTGTCCCGGCTGAGGTCTGATTTCGCTGGCAGCCGAACAGTGTTATGGGTTATTCGTGACCGGCCCTGATTGCCATAGCTGACGGTCTTCATCCCACTTGGAGCACATTCAGGACAGAACCATGTCCACGAGAACCAGCCTTCCAGGTGTTTGGGGGAATCGCCATGATCAACAATCACGATACTCCGAGTCGATCTCGAATCAGTATTTATTAATGGAAGAAATTGCTAGGCTAGGTCCCCTTGCTGGCAATCGCGTGCGATTCATTACGGTGATGGACTTCCGCCCCTCTCTGCATGGCTTCGTCGGCCTGTAATACACAGCTCGGGACACACGATGAGATTGCCTGCCTTACACCTGTCGTATTGGAAGTCCAATTCGACCTCGAGGCAAGGGGCCCGCGCAGGGGCCACTTACAGACCGCACTTGCAAGATCCACGGTCTGCCCAACCTACGGTTGGAACCTCCCTTTTACACCTTACGCAGAGGTTAATGTATATCAATTTGACCTCTTCGTCACCTACGGTTCGAACCAAATCCCCGGGATAGGGATACCAACACATCTGTGAATCCGCATGGCGCTGATCACTCATGTCCCATCAACCGACAGGATGCAGTGATCTAGGGTTTTCGATCTCCCAGAACCAGCTCATCGGTCCGTGAGGTTTGTCGATACAGTTGACCTCCGCGATCCGGAACATATTGTGGAACTGGGCCGTCTACATGACCCGGTGCCGGTGGTCGGTAGCAGATGGGCCGGAGCGGGCGCGCACTCGCAGTTCTTGTGCCAGTTGCTAGGCACCCTGTGACCAGAAAAAAGCCAACACTGTAGACAGAGTAATACCTCGGTAGTATCTTCTTCCTATCTTTTTTACTATTTATGCTATATTAATGACTATTCAAGAGAACAAAACTTTAAATGCAGAAAAGACTGCGTAAATCCCGAAATCACTTTGAGCATTTTTGTAAAAAAACTACTTTGTTTATATAAATGAGCACAGATAGAAATAGTAATATATGTGTCGACTTGCTAGGTGTTCGCTTTCTTCTGGTCACAAGGTGCTAAAGTGCATTTGGTGACAGTGTAAAAAGGAAGGGCTCGATTCCGCCCCAGAGGTAATGGAAAAGTTGGGTATCTTTGACATGTAGCCACGAAGGTGACACTGCGTTGGGAAATATGAGCAGGACATCCCGTGTAGTTTCCCGGCTTCACAGCCTGCGCCAATGAGAACAGTATCTGATGCATAGTTTTTGTACTCGCGGCAACCAGGTCTTGGCCCGATGCTACTTCTTCATCTTACAGGCGTCGACCACCCTTAGAGCCATCCTGACCCCGACTCTCCTGCTTTGATCTACACGGCAAACTTAGAATCACACAACAACTCCAGGTGAAGGTGAGGAAGGCTATAAATCATCCATGGAGGCTGAACATCTAGTGGGGCGTGGGATCAGAGTCACAAGGGGGGGAAGGCGGGGCACGCCAGGCTGGCTACGACACGAATCAAAGTCACTTCCATGATTAAAATGTAATTCAGGCACGCCCCTCCAGTTGGGTGAAGTATCCATGCAGTACGGAGTACCTACCCATGCTTGTAGCTAGCTTCAGGACCAGGGAGGCGTGTGCCTGCGCCCCTGCACCTCAATTCGTCCCAAAGATCCTGTGGGTGTGCTCTTTCATCCTTGTCGGTGCACGGAACAGAAGCAAGGTGGGCCGCAGCAGACTTCGTCTTGCGAACAGAGTCACGCCTGTGTGCCTCTTCAGGTTTGTACAAGCCACGTCTCCGCCGTCCACCTGCAAGCTGTGGCCTCCATGCAGAGACGTAGGGATTCCGGCTGGAGCAGCCTCATCTCGAGCGCAGACTCCCGGCCAGCGAGGCTTGTCGCTAAGTAATGGATACATATTCACGTTGGTAGTGCTCCCCAAAACCCTGCAGAGATTCGTTCACGCCTAGGTTCATCCCTGCTGAGATCGAAGTATCGGACCATGATCAGATGCTCCAGCCCGGCCCCGCACCAGAACTTCCGCCTCAGGGTTGCTACCAACAGTTCACCTGCCCCTTCCTATCTCCTGCTTTAAACAGAGCATATAATTGGATAGTTTGCGGAAAGCATTCTTGCCGCAAACCCAATTGGCGCCTTCCCCAAGCGCGCACGCATTCTTGTCGGCCCAACCCCGCAGGACAGCCGCATGAACGGCCGATCAAGGGGCCTTGGCCGAGCCCAGGCGGCCGAAGATGTTCGTGGGATGCGCGCGGCCCCCCCGGCATGCGGGTTAAGGGAGTTCACGGTGTTAATCGATTTGACTGCTGTCTGAAGGTCTGCGAACTCCGCGGTGGAGTGGCCATAATTGCTCTTGAGGCCATGAGTTTCCATGATGACTGCGTGACCCCGAGTACATGGCGCCAACTGATTTTTCGAAACGGGCTGTGGCGCTGCTAATTTCTGCCTGTTCAAGGATCCAACGCTTTCGCCGCCCGTGATTGGCATCGGGATCGGTGGAATATTGCTCCGCCGACTAATCCGGTCGTATATCAGACCCGCTGAATTTATCGCTCCATACACCATCATCTTACTTCTTCCTTGGTCCGACACCTGCAGTCATGTCGCACCCAAAAAAGCCCCATGAAGTGGTAAAATTTCAGCACGTACGTGTTCATCGCCAATGCGGAGCGTGCGGATTTCTATTTGTCTTCGGAGATCATCTGGTTGCACGTGAGGGGCCTTCACTCCTTCCCTACGAAATGGCTTCAGCTGACAAGGATTACTGCTCAGTGCGCGCCTCCTCAACGCGTATTATCGCCTGTGATGCATCAACATTTGCCGCAACAGGAACACCACAAACCCGTGCTACCTACCTCTTTTGTCGGCATCCGCATTGCAGAACGTGCTCAGCGGCTGCGGATACGGCCACCGTTCACAGGGATTGCTTCAACCTCTACAGCTCGCGAACAGAACTCCCAGACAAATTATACAGACTACTGATATTCTCAATTGCGAGGTATCCGTGGCCTCGGAGCACAGCCCTTCTGCTTCCTCCCACCTCGGATATCACGCGCGCCAGCAAGCGCGCCATAACGCTTGGCATTGCCGATTTCAAGATGCCCGGACTTGCAAAGCTTCCCCCTGAACTGACAACAGTGATTCGGGGGTATTTGGGGCAACATGATCTTCTGCGTCTGTGTTGCGTGCTTGAGACTATCGACTTCATACACCTCAAGGGCCTTGATTCGCCCTTGTCGGGACCACTTCGCCAAGTCCAGTTCTGGCACCGAGGGAAACTCCCGATTATAGCTCGGGCAGGCTCGTCCTTCCCGATAGAGATGACGATTGATTCAAGGGGCATTAGGTGCATAGAGAGATCCGGGTGTTCGACTGCGCAGCTGCGATCCCCATTTGATGTGTACACCACGGTCGGCGTTGATGACGACTTGGTTATTAATTTTCAAGTTGGTATCGTTTGCATCTTTAATGTTCGCTCCTTTTCTGACGTCTTTTCCCAGTTCGGTGTGGGCCGTCTTGCAACGCCCCCTCCATCAGGAACGCTCCAACTCACGGACAGGCCTAATTTGTCACCAGAGGCAGGCTTTCAATTTCCGTCCCCAAAGCACGGTGATCGACTCGCCACCGTTGATCTGGATCACTGCTCAGGAATCACGTTCTTCCTGTTTAACAGGAACTTGCATGCGATTCACGCTCATACACCCGCGGCGCCAACCGCAGATGCCACCTTCGCACAGATTGAGATGACAGTTCAGCCGTTCGTGTCGTGGGTCTACGTCCCAAATCCCCCTCGAGATAAGATCTCAGCGTTTGGGGTTCGAATCGGGATAACACAAGGCAAACTTCAATTGAATCAACGGACTTATTTCGTAAGCTCATACTTCACAGAACCGGTTGGTTTGGCTGACAATCCGAAGGTTAGGACACCCCACCGAGGAGACTTTTACATTGGTCCACCACCAGTTGGACCGGGGCTACATTATGCCGTTCACACCACGTTGCGATCGACTCTTTTGTGTGTTGTGGCGCGGAACAACCTTGTCGTCATTCGGGGGGTGTTAACAGAAGGCGATGCCTGCTCAGTTGGCACCCCTGTAGTCCCAGGAAACCCACCAATTCAAGACGCATGCCATGCGCTGGCTATACTGTCATGCGTGAAATCCATCTGGATATTCCGCGACAAGGAAGCACAATTCTGTCGGGGTCTTATAGTTGAGTATCTTGATGGCACAGAAAAGGCGTTGGGGCTGTGTCGCATAGGGGTTGATCTAGCTGAGAGATGTGGTGCCGTGGAGCAGCTCTCATTCAAGGATGTTGAGCAACAAGAGCGCCCAAAACACCGGATGGTGATGGTGAGAGGTTCCCGCTCACAGGGGAAGGACACTTGCGACGATGGAGAATGGACGGTTTGCTCTCACGGGGACACGTTGGAGGTTTGGTCGACAGCAACACAGATGGTGATGACTAAAACAAAGCTAAGCGACACAAATTCGTCGGATACGCAAGCTAAAGTACTCTAAGCCTAGAGCCAATCTTCGACATTCGTAGAGAAATAGACAGTGCCCGAATTACCGACATACTTGTAGCCCTTAGCCATCGTCCCCTCCACCATGCACTGCGCTGGTTCCCATCTAGTCTTGTCAGTGTTGACTTCGACGCCCTCTCGTGTCTGAATTTTCGGTCCCTGGCTTCGCTGTTTAATCGCAATGGCGAACGTGACGCTCGCTGGGTCTAACTCCTCCAAGATCACGTCGTCCGCCATGCTGTCGTCCGATTCGAACACGTCGTCAAGCAGCTGCGGGTCTCGCTTGATTTTCTCGAAGTATTCCATCAGAATTGCTTCCGACGTTCGAAAGTCGAGGTAGGACGATTTGTCCCCCGAGTCGCCATAGGCCGGGAGTGCGGGGGTCAGGAAGCCTTGCCCAGCGTCGAAAGCCCAGATGCGGACATTGGGACCCCATATACTGCACGTCCACATTCGTGTCTGGGCGGGGTTCTCCAGATAATATTCGTAACAAGCGGTGAACAGCTGATGCTCCGCATCTAAGACGTCTTGAGGCCCAGACTTGGCCTTCTTCAGCTCGACCATGACCTGACAGACGAAGTCTCGGCCGTCAAACCGTTCAATGATAAAGTCGACCCGTCTCCGAGATTCCAGATATGTTGGAGGCTGCTCAGGGCCCACGACAAATTCCTTCTCGTAAAAAATCTCCTTCGAAAAGAGATGGTTCCACAACCGTTTAGTTGCGAACTCATCGAACCTCAACGAGTCGTCGATTAGTCGTTTGACTAAGGGGTCATCTGAAATACCCATGGCGAGAATGATTCGTTTTGATGGGAGTAAAATGTGTGAGAGTTGCAGAGACGGAGAACGTTTAGAGGGCGGCATCGAGTTGGATGTCGATGTGATCCTGCAATTTAGACTATTTGCAGAGCTCTGTTGCCGCCAGATCATGCCCGTAACAGCCGCCGCCCTAATTAACGCTTTCGCCCAGGGTTCGTCCTACGCGCCGTTGGGTGGACATGGGCTCTTGAGCTGATGTTGCGGACCTGATCCTCTGGGAGACGCTGGCACTTGCCATGTCTGGCCTAGTACCACGCTAAGCCAGGTATCCATGCAGGAGACCTAATGTGTGACAGGTCCTGCATTCTATCCAACCAGCAACAGATAGCTTGAAAATCTTGGGCCGATCGATAAGCTCAGATAGGTGACGGCCCCTACGACGGGGCCTGTTTCCAGCGATCGACGGATAATCCTCTGGGAATAAGATGGTACCACAATGAACGGCTACATGTACTTCGTGAATCGCTACTCGCTCAGTGTACTCCGTATTTTCTAACACACTCCCCATAGGCTAATGTAGTATTGTACAAAAATGGGTCTCCTCGGTTTGAGCCCTGCCTCGCGATAACCACCACTCTGCAAGGCAAGTCTAATACCTACGCGGCCAGCGCAGCCATAGGGCGTGGGAAGGTGGACGTATCCATGGGCAGCTTGACATTTTCAGAGATGTCAGTGTCTGCCAGTGCCGAGAGCCTGTTGTTCGCCACCGTTCGAGGCATGTGATAATAGCCAGTAATCCGGAAACAACGATGGGATCCTCACGTTGTCTGTCATATTCGCAAATGTTATTGGCCGTCGATTTAGAAAGTGTGTCACTCACATGACGTGCTTATCTGGGTCCATTCAAAGAAGCAGCTAAAGCGCTACGCTATGTGGCAGTAGTTGGACTTTCATTTCTGGCAGCGTGCTTGAATATCACTCATGTTTGACCAACAGCAATCGGACGAGGCCTTTCAGCAGGATACCTCTATAGCGTACATTGTAGAGCAAAAGAAGCCAACAGGCCAGCTTGACGAGAGCCGTGTCTGCAATCAAGTAAGCTTCAGTCAGGGCCGAAACGTCCTCGCGCAGCTTGGCGACGGTGCCCACTCGTTCCCCTTTTATCAACCAATCTGGAGCTCTTCCACGCCCATACATCAACTGCTACTCATGGAACAGTCTTCCTTCATAATCGCTGATGGTCGTCCTGAGGTAGCTCATGAGTGGGCATGCACCAACAGACAGTTCAAAGACTCTGTCAACACAATACTCCGTGCATCGTCGCTTGCGTCTTGTTCTAGGGGACAGGGACCGGTTCTCCAATCTGCAGAGCGATCTGGAGGCTTGAGGACTGAGGATGGCAGCGAACCAAACGAAGCAGGTGCCGACGATGAAGAAAGCCAGGCGGCGTTACGACTTCAAACCCTTGGTCAAGTCGCCGAGAGAGGGTGAGCGAGGGTCTGGTCATTAGGTCAATCCTCGATCAGCTCCTCCTACCGGACCAGCCTAGGGATGGTGGTCCGAATGCTCATGCATGCTAATGCTCATCATTCGAGGCCCTGTACGTAGCGAAGATTCTCATAAGAGTTATGGAACGTTAGATAGTGCTCCTCGGCCTGACAACAACAAATCAACTTGAAACTATACCTGTCGTAAAGCTCTGTTCCTCATCTGACTCTTAGCTGCTGCTCTACTATAAATGCCCCATTCCCCTCACAAGATCTCCCTGAAATCTCGTTGACTACACGTCTTCTAATTACAACTTATATTTTATTATAAACGCAACATGTCGGATACCGGTACCGTTCCCGAGCTTCCCTCCATCAAGAAATATACTGTCCCCCGAACAATTTTTATGTACAGAAAGACGATCGAGTCACAGGGCAAAAGTATTCAGCAACTGGAAGCTGTAGTCTTCGCGCAGCAGGACCACGCTTATCGGCAATATCAAACAATCCTGAAACTACAAGAAAAAATACTGTATCTGCGGGAGCTCCGTGTTCTCCAGCAGAACCATATCGAGAAGCAAGCCAATTCGTTAGTACGAAGACGTTTTTGTCTCAGCCAGCACTTGACGAAGATCGTGTCAATCAAAAGCGATCTGCAGGACATTGCGGATAATTTGATGGAGACTCAGAATTTTGCGCAACAAACGTCGTCAGAGCTGCCTGATTCTACGCCTTCAGAGAGGCTAGAGAAATGCGTTGCGAAATTGGAGCGGTTTGTTGAGGAGACCCTCGCTTGTTCTATGGCAGGGTTGGGACATGAGAGACGCGATTGAGCAGAGAGTCGAGTTCTGTTCTTTGAGACAGGAAGGATTTGGGGAAACAGACGCAAGGAGCTGGTTCTTCTACTCGTGAGGCAGATACTGTCACACACGGAGTCACATAAGCCAGAAAGGCATGCATACGGGGAAGAGTATTTTGTGATGAGATAGAGGAGCAAAAAGATATATGAATTTGAGGCTAAGCACGAGCTACATATACTGTTCCACATCCGAGAGATCACCTACAATGCCGTAACGATTCGAGATTGTTATTTTGGGCTCATGACTTTCAAGGTTGGCACCCGGCGACAGTGATTCTAACTCTCCCGTGATGTCCCTCCTTGCCCCACTCTTTAATAGAAGCTTGGAAGCCTCAGTGTTATCATACAATACTGACACAAGAAAAGCAGTGTTGCCATAGTTGTTCACACTGTCCAGAGGCTTATCGTCAGTGGCACGCCTTACATACGTATGCATCCTACGCAGTAAGTATCTCAAGATATCCAAAGACTCGGTTTCGAGTTTGAACTCGCGCTGTTGTGATTCTATCTGACGGGTTATCACAGTGCACTGGTCCGGCAAGTAGGTGCAAGGCAGTATCGCCGAGATTATCGCGCTGGAAAGGATCCACGCCAGTAAGGAGGAGAAGCTGTATGACGTTCACCTTGCTACCTTGAAACTGGGCGGCCGGAGTGCGGAGTAGATGGTGCAAAGTTCTCCCATTGTTTCCCGGAAGTTCCAAATTGGTATCGATGTCTGGATTCAACAAGAGCGCCTGTATCATGTCCGTCCCTCGAATGCAGGCGTCGTATAGAGCCCAGCCATCTGATTCCGTAACTATGTGCCCTTGCTGAGCAAGCAGTCGAACTCGCGCAATATCTCCAGAGAGTATGGCGCCCACAAGCGGATTGCGGCTTGGCCATACCTCGAGGTCTGGCGGGGTTCTCAGAGGTTGGATCCGGGAGCGGTTATTTCCCGAAGCTCTGCTGTAGTTTGTGCCGAGTGCATTTATCTTACAATGGAATACATACATAGCGTTGTTGCTGCAGTTACTAAAAGATCCGTGGCCCAAGATAAAAGGACCCTTTTTCAGTCAAGAGCCTTCCATATCGTGGCTGATTTGTGGTTTACCGCGGCGTTACGTTTCGATGCAGCCTCTAGGTACAACTAGGAGACTTTGTCGGGCCAGCCACGCAAGTTGGAGAGCCTCGACCTCGTTTAAAGACGGAGTTGACCCAGAATGTCTTAATTCGACATATGAGCTACGATGCCACACGACCTAGAAAGGTACGTGCCCTTCTATAATGCACCTCCGATTTCTTGTTTCTTGAATTCGTACCTATGAAACGGACAGCAACAGGGTTTTTATTGAGCTGTCTCTACATTTCGTGAACGATCATTTGCGCTAGCTAAGGCGTTGGTTTTCGCAGCAGGCTTATTTGGTGGTCTGAACATCTTCAGGCACGGCCAGGCTTGATTCTACGCACCAGAACCAGTCCAGACTCTCCTCTTCATACCGCGTAGCTGAACTTATACGATGACTTCAGGACGTAATCAACTGGACCACCGTGTGCCATGTTCCTTTCGAGCTAATTTTGATGTGCATTTTGGCTCGCATCTGCCAACGATAAGAAGCAATGGCAAGCAGCTGGCTTTTGGCGTATAAAGCCAATACCTCTTCATCCCATCCCCTTTTTTCTGCACCTTCTGTCGAGATCTTAGAATTTGAATCCTCAGCCTTATGAACGCCGAAACATACCCGAAGACCAGCAAGTACCACAAAGAACAGAGATTCAACTGTGGAGTCTTGCTGCCGAGACATATGTTCGGTACGAAGCCCTTCCGACGCCGCAACTTCTCCTATTCCATCCACCCCAAAAACCCTATCCTGAGCTTCTCTATCCTCTCATCTAACGTCGAAATTTCCTCCAGATTCCCTGGCTGCAAGTATGGAGCATGGTCTCAGACCTACACCGATGGCGAACTGCATCTCCAGAGCGTCTGCACTTGTCGTTGATGTTGGCCCCACGGTCCAGCCGTGGTTAACTCAGACACTTCGGGGCATCCGCGAACAAACGGAACCGCTCGACAGCGTCTTCCATCACCAAATATGTCTGATCAAAACGCTCTTGACTCCGCAGAGCATTTGGTATCTTGCGTGCATCATGGTGCCCAAGCCTTCAGAGACAGAGCTGCACCAAAGCGCCAACCAAATATCCGACTTCCAACTTATCCACATCAAGGCATCCGTCATTCGCGTCGACATGAGGGAGCAAAACGAGGTGGTGTCAAGCTAACCGGCGAGTCGATCAACTCCCTGATTAAGTACCACAAAAGTTCCAACTGCGTTGGGATCGTGGCTAAGATGCAACAGCAGGCTAGAAATGATCGAATGCGAAAGAAGGTGCGCGAGGACTTCCTACAAGCTATCAAAGAGTTCGTGTTTCGTACCAACGTCTCCGCTCTGAAAGGTCTTGAAGAGGATGGAGCCGGCGAGTTGCTTGGCGATGATAGTGAAAAGGTAAAGAGAATCATTTTGGGCATGATGGAATCACCTGATGGCACCTCCGGTATCTCTCAATTATCTTGTACAGGATACTGTGAAAACTATTGTTTTTCTGTTGATCCGATCAACACTGGATAGGTTGAGTTGTCCTTCCAACGAAGTACCTAGCTAGACTTTCATGTGACTATAATTTAACCTGGAATTTCTGAACTAAAATCTTGCTTCCGCAGCTCTCCATATATCTCAATTGAGCCGTGAGTGACGCCAGACAGCACGCGCGTCTTGATCATATCGCTTGGCCTTTCAGCCAAAGCCATGGTGTCCATAAGTGACATCGTTTGCCGGTCTCCCAGAAGCTGAACGTTGTCTCTCTGGCTGGCAAGACAGGATAATTCCACTCAGAAGATTAGGAACTTTCATAGTACAGGGCTCTACCTTTGCCTTGAGGCACTCAAGTCAGCAGCAAACTGCCTACTGCTCAACGTATACGGGTTCTTGATTATAGCCCGCAAGCGGAAGAGTATGATCAGCCCGTATTATCAAGCGATGGAATTCGCACAACTGAGGGCGAATGCGGTAGAATGGTCTTCGATGCAGGGCAGCAAAGAGTTGAGGGTCTTTCTTGCATTGAGGAGTCGAGTCTACCACAACCCAATGGTATCAGGCAACCTACAGCACCAAGGCAGATGCGTCTTCAAATCCACCCACACTGACTCGGGTTCGGTATTTCCAAACGGCCATGCTACATTCCACATCATGGAATAGGAAGCCTGAATGGTGTCCATAGAACCCTGCAGCTTGAAGTCTTGGATGTACTGGGGCACGGATTGCTCGTGGCATGGGTAGAGCTAGGGACTATCCGAAAAGACGCTATTCTTCCAGCCTCTTTGCCGTTCCTTTGGCTTTTCGGTGTTATCGATGAACCACTGATAGAGGTCTTTCAACGTCATCTGGTGTGCCTCTTGGCCGAGGAGGGCCTTGTAAATCAGATCCGCGTACGTTTCTTTCCATTGCGTTCTGCTGACCTCGCTTTGAGCCGAAGCTTGCGACGTGTTGATTGACATGCCCACGCCGTTGAACCCTGTGCCTGAATCGAGCGGAATAGGGAAAACGTCCTTCCCAGGACAGACTCCTAGATGTAGATTGCCATCCCAGTCGTAAGGGGTTCCGATGCAGACGGCTTGGCAATTGGATTGGCATACGTTGCCGATGTCATGACTAGCATCGAAGGCGGTTTGGAATGGGTAAATATCCTCCTCTTCGCTGATCCATCGCGACTCACGAGAAGATGCGGTAGCATCCCGTAGTTCCATCTCGCTGGTCCTGCTTGATAGATTGGAAGATGACCTGTGTGATGTAAAGTGAGGGTGTCCAAAGCACGGTGAATGGAGTGGTAGCGATGTCGGAGACGCACTGTGACCGTGGAGAGTGTTACTCCTTATCAACGCTGCGACGACGACGTGGTAGAGCAGTAATGAGCCGCTTCAACTGAGAGTCTTTCTGCCACCTAGAATGACGAGGCATCAGATTTTGACGTCCCGGATTTGCCAACCTCCATTTCTGCCATCGCAGATCCTTTTGACGCAATCTAATTTCGGATTTGTCGCCAAACGATGCTGCACAGAGCGGGCTCAAAGTTGGCAGGAAAGCCATTTCGTGCCTGACGACATGATTTCACCGTATCTACGTATGTATACATACAGTACATACATACGAAACCTATAGCAACAAGTGTGTGGATTGATTTCTCTCACACACAAACGCAAAAGTGTGGAAGATCGCAGCAACGGTCTTTGCAAAATCATCCCCAGCTTGCGTTTTGAGACCACATATTCTACTGCCCAACAACTTGGGAGATGTCGTCAACACTACTCAACCGCCAAAGCGACTTGTGGAACGCGGAAAGAGAACACCAGCACGAAGTTACGGGGGAAGCAGTTCAACTCCACTATGAGCGTGCGAGAGACCTTTGTCGAAGAAGTGGTGAGCAGATGAAGAGAACGATCCCAAACAGCGTCATCTAATCGACCACAGGCTTGACGGTGCACGACATCCTTCACCTCTCGCCTAACTTCTGGCGCTTTCACTTCGATAGTACGTTACCTCAACCGCGAAAGATGAATCGAAGCTGAGTTCCTTTAGTGATCGCTGCTCGAGATATGACCGCGTTCGTGATCGCAACGATTCATTTGAACCTCTGCATCGGGACAATCGGCCGTTTCGCAGACGAGCGACCCGACTTGGCAGCCCTACTCGACGATCTGCGACAGTTCAAAGTTTGCGGTGAGTTTATGTTGACAGAAATTGAGCACGGCCTTGATGCCAGAAACCTGGACACGACGGCGACGATGCTCGATGATGGGTCTTTCGTGCTGCACACGCCGGCCCTCGGCGCCGCCAAAGCGATGCCGCCAACCACCCCGTTGGCTGGGATCGCTCGTGTAGCAGTGGTTTTTGCGCGCCTTCTGGTCGGGGGTGAGAGCCGGGGTGTCAAACCCTTTGTCGTTCCCATCAACGACTCGACCCGGATGCGTCCCGGGATCGTGTCAAGGGTCTTGCCGGTCCGACCCGGCACGAAACCGTTGGACCATTCCATCACGACGTTCAGCAACGTCCAGCTTCCTGCAAGCGCGCTGCTCGGTTCGTCTGCAAGAGCCGAAGACGAGCGGGCGGAGTTTCTGGACCAGATCTGGCGAGTATCCGTGGGAACGTTGTCATTGTCCACCATGGGCGTCTCCGCCTTGAAGGTGGCCGCGTGCATCACGGCCGTGTACAGCGAGCGTAGGAAGGTTGGGGCCGGAAAGCACGGGAAAGTGGTGCCTATCATGAGCTTTAGCACGCAGCAGCGCCCCATACTCAAGGCGCTGGCCTTCGAAGAGGTCCTTCATGCTTATGCCCAATGGACCGTCCGGGAATTCACGAACCCCGACACCACCGCCGACGTCCGTAGAGGTCTTGCCACCGCCTTCAAAGCACTCGTGGTTCGCTCATCTCGTTTGCTCGTCGAGCTGGCCGAACGATGCGGATGGCAGGGCCTGTATGCCTACAACCAGATCAATGAGCTGGGATCTACGTTTCAGGGAAATTCAGTCGCCGAGGGTGATACGCTGGTCATCAGCATTCGTATGTGTTGTATGATGCCCTAAGCTTCACTCACCAACTTGTGGGGCAGGCCTAGCGTCGGAGCTTCTAGCACAGAAATACTCCCTGCCTCAGCCGGGCGATCGAACAAGTCCTCTGGCCATGTACGAGAGGGGAGTTTTCGATGAGATGGCAGCGAGAGCGGCCACTACGTCGAGCGGCCATAGAAGCGAAGAATTTAATGCGGCGATCCTTCCTCGCTGCCGAACCATGGTGGAAGCTATCGGACAACGCTTAGCCTACGAGGCAGCACTGCGTTCCGGCAACGTGGTTCCGGAAGTGCTCAATCTCTTCGAGAAATGTTGTGTCCAGGAAGACGCCAGTTGGCACGTCGAGCATCGCAATGACAGCCGGGCACGGATCTGGACAGCAGAGGAGAGGGCGTTTACTAATTTGATGCCCCTAATGCCGGACCTGGTAAAGAGGACCAATGCGGAAGATTACATCACAGCTCCCATCGTCGATGGCGAAGCCTTGGAGAACTTTCTTACGCGTTTGCCCGCCTATGGCAATGAGTGGGAGGGCACAGGAAAGCCAGCTCGGGAGGCGAAGCTTTAGACGTCGGTGGATGAGAAGGTCGGAGCTACGAATAGGGCGTATCCAGACGATGTCAGCTGACCAACCGCTGAGAACCATGTCGTCGTGGCCGAGGTTTGAGGCGATAGAAAGACAATGAAAGATGCACTTTTGCAGACTGGCTTATAGAGATCCAGTGAGTGAACGTCCGTAATGCCCAGATGCCGATTCGGGCGTAGGCTCGATATTTCCCAAACGGCTGCAGGCAACAACCTAGGCACTGCGTGCCGAAGAACCCGGTATTCTATCCATGATTTCGCGGTGTAGGAAAGTGTGCCGCCTTGCCTGAGGCTTACTTGCAATGAGACAGTGGTAAAGACCCACACACTCAAGATATCAAGTAGTTCCGTCTATGCGACATTTCAACACAGCGGATAAGTAATGCGAGGTAGGTATTACATCTTTTTGTTCACTTCGGGTGCAAGCATGATAATGTGGTAATTAACAGTGAATCTTTCAACATAGGAGACTGGTATTCTATGAGACGGTTGTTAGAATCTAGCCGAACAACCAGCACACCGCGATATCACTATGCATCTATATCGCTATCTTGTTGAGGAGGGAAGGAAAGGCCTCGCTCGCCCCTGACCTTCTGTCTGTAGGACATGTGGAGGACCGCAAGATGAGCGAATGTCATAGCCGGGCCAAGAGTGACCCCGGCTCCCAACGACGTAGCACCCATGACCGACGCTGATGAGTTGCCGGCCGCGTATAGACCGTCAATAGCATTGCCATGTGTATCTACCACGCGCCCATATTCGTCTGTCAGCAGACCGCCCTTGGTGCCGGCGTCTCCCGGAGTCACCCGTATGGCATAATATGGGGGTTGATCGAGAGATCCCATGTTTGGTCGCTTCGCGCTTCTGTCCCCGACGAAGAGGTGGTAGTTGCTGCGGCCCTTGCCGAATAGCCCGTCGACTCCGTCGTCGCACGCCTGGTTCCACGTCTCAACCGTACGCAACAGGCCTTTCGCTTCGACGCCGATCTGAGCTGCGAGACTGGCCAAGTCGTCTGCCCTGAAGATGTGGCCGCGAGCCAGGGCGTCAACCGGCTCGACCCTAGGGCCAAGCGACCCTAGAGTGTACCGACTCCGGTAGTTCCAATCAAGTATCAGCCAGGCATTGTTGTCATCGCCCCGAGACCGATGATAGAGCGCACGACCCACGTCGCCGTACGGGTCGGCCTCGGAGAAGATCCTTGACCCTTGCCGGTCGACAACAATGCAGTGGGGCTTGCACAGCTCAAACAAGGCGGTCGTGAGCCTCCCGCTTCCAGGATCGATGATTGTGGGGATCCACCACGCTTCGCCCATGAGCGACGTGGCCGCGCCGACCTTGCACGCTGCTTCCAGAGCATCTCCCGTGTCACCTTCAGGTTGCGTCAACGTCCACTCCGGTCCGATGAGGGGCAGGTGTTCCCGTCGCAGATCTTCACGTCGAGCGAAACCACCGGCCGCCAGGAGGATCCCGTGGGCATAGACCTTGAACATCCCGGAATCTTTCGACTCCACAACAGCGCCACAGACGGCTTCCCCTTCGACGAGCAAGTCTTTGAACTTGGTGTTCACCTTAATCTGGACGGCGGTACTCCCCTTGCGGAGGCAGATGTCTAAGAGCTGCGCGACGAGTGAGCTGCCCATGCAGGTCGGCCTGGCCATGGTTTTGCTCCGGAAAAATGCCCGCAGCTTCATCCAACAAAGTGTGAGAAGGTCGATGGCGGACGCGTAAGGCTTGGTCAGAACGACAAAGTCGTGAAAGTAAGCCACCGGTGCCGAGTGTCCAGGCCGGCGCAGGCGATCAGCCCAGCATCCCAACGTCCCGGCGTCGAAGGGACAGGGGTCCAGCGTCCGCCCGCCTGCGTCCATGGCACCTGGAATCTCGGGTGATAGTCGGGGATTGGAGAGTGTCTCCACCGGAGGCCTAGACGGCGGAAGAAATTGACCATCGCGGGTCCACCAGCCAGGAAGGCGTCGATCCGCGCGGGGGTGGATTCCGGCCCAGCGCCTCCGCTAATCGCAAGCGCATCTTGCAGGTATCGGCGGGCAGCGTCGCGGGAGTCGTTACAACCGGCTGCTTCGGAGACCGAATTTTGAGGAATCCATATGGTGCCTCCAGAATACGCTGTTGTGCCTCCGATCTTATCACTTTGCTCGATGACCAATGTGCGAAGACCAAGTTGCTTGGCTGTGGCAGCGGCTGCCAGGGCAGCGGCGCCGCTGCCCACCACAAGAACATCGATTGTGTGGTTGGGTGTTAGCTCCATATCTTGTTTTGCTGACCTTGTTCCCGGCACGTCATGCGGAGGTAAAAGGTATCACAATAAGAGAAAATGAGAGAAAATAAGAGAAGAGCAACACTGAAGGCTGGGGTCCAGAACCAAGTATGACTTGCTGCGACGGGGTGAGTACAGGCGTCTTGTTTGGGGTCAAGGTCTCGAAGATCTGGATGCTCAAGTTATGTACTCATGGCTCCATAGGCGTGATACGTAGGCGAGATTACTCGCACGGGACATGCATCTCTCGGGACCACTACTTGAGTTTCTACAGTGTATCCCCCGAAACGATTCTGGACCAGTGATTATCAACCTGGGCCGCGGTACATAGCCGATGTCGCGAAGTTGCGATAGTCTTTTTGAGTCACATCAAGATGATGATTCGGCACAGAATGCATTCGTGCTGCAACACAAAACCCACTTTTCGCAACTTCTGCGAGGTTGAGCTGGCACTGACGAATAATTATTGGAAACGTGTAACAGCCAGAATCAGGGTACATACAGAAGCAAAGATAATGGCACCGATTCTCATTAGAGGGTCAACCGCTTTGATCAGATATTGGATACAGCTGAATTCATGTTTGGCCATAACGAAACATACTGCCTGGCCAGCTCTTTTCGCCATGGGTCAACTTCATAACCCTACAGTATCGAAGACCCTCTACTGGCCTTTGCTATAGACGGTTTCCTTTCGTTGCCAAGCACTGCGAGCTTAGCATCGTGTCACTGGCCGAGAGGAAACAGCAAGCATTGATAAGCTGAAATCGTCTTCAAGTGCGTTCTCAGACCGACCCCAACTGTTCAAACTACAGATGCTATACTGTGCTACACAGTAATCCTAAGGACGTCATGTTTCGACTACAACAAACGCCTCGGTAGGGACCTTGGTCTGGATGGTATCGTGATAAGCTGCAAGTAGATAGCCATGCATATAGAGATCGCTTTCGAGCTCCCAGGTCGGACACTCGTATCCGATCCACTTAACCCCGTAGAGGACCGCGCCATTTCCGGCCTCGTGGTGCCCCGCGATTGACTCAGGCACGTAGCTGCTATGGCCATCAATCATGTGAGGACGCTGAGCACATTCTGGATCATATGTTGCTTCCTCTTGGCAACACACTTCATCTTTTTGGACTTGACCCACACAGGCTGGACACAAAGTTATGCTTACTGTGTACATGTGACCATAATTTAAAGTGCGAAAGTGACTGCTGTTAAGGCAGGTTATGGATACCTTGAAGTAGCTCTTGATTACACGGTGCCCCTCGTACTGTCGTACACCATTAAGACCCCACATTTTGGTTTGCAAACCAACCGCTACAGTAATTACCAGAGGTTTGCGGAGGCCCATCACAGCAGCTTTCGGCTTCTCAAACATTGAGAGTGTTTGCGAGAGAGGAAGTGACTTATGTATGATCAAAACTGTAGAGCGATTGGCCATGGTCAGAATCTCCGAGCACTCAAGATTTCTTCCATGATTGGGTTGACCAGGGCTAAGATAGGTGCATTAAACGGTTACCACCTTTAGCCACGCACTGGCAATGAGCCACGGAGACCAGAGTCACGCCATGTCAGCAATCCTCAGTGAACTTACGCCCTCTCAGACACCCTCCCACTCCATCTACTTGCCGCCGGAGATCCTTGCCATGGCAATGGCATACTGCGATGATAAGACTCTCCGATTACTAGCGCTGTGCAGCAAGCTGTTTCGGGTTATCTGTACGCCACTACTTTACCAGCGAGACTTACAATCGCCCGCTCCTCGTTGTGTTGCCTGGGCGATTTCCGAGGGCGAAGACGACTCCGTTTCACTATGTGTACTTCAAAGAGCTCAGCAGTTGGGGGCGGATTTTGAAAGAAGACTGCCGTACGATTGCTTTCTCGGTCATTGCGGTACTGACGTCTTTGAACCCCGACGGGACTGCTTATTCCGAGGTACAGAGCTGCTGTCAGCTTTTCAGCTTGCTCTTCTGTTAGGTCGCGACAAGCTTGTTGCTTTTCTTTTGCAGAACGGATTTCATGACCAGGAAGTAATCATCGACAACAAAGTTTGGTCTTTGCTTCCGTTCAAAGCGACTCATGCTTCTCTTTGGGAACTAGACACCTCGATTGCCCAGCTCTCTGCATCGGACGGGCGTTTTCAAACCGCTTTCGAGCCATTCATTCAGTACAACGAGTTCGGGCCAACCTTTGCGAGGCTTGGAACACTTTCTTTCGCGCCCTGGTTTCCAATGTCGCAAGAGGAAATTCTACAGTATGTGTACGAGTGTGGAGTCAGTAGCTTCAATATGGGTCCGGAATTCGAATTCAAACGTAGGAGAATGTTTGTTGTTAAAGCGAAATCTTTCAGGCCCAGATGTAACCTGTGGTAGGAAGTCTGCTATCAAAAATTTGCAAACGTACACGGATCGGATCAAGAACCACAAGGAAAGCACAACTGTTGCAAAAGAAATGACGCGGTAGCCTGTAAACCTGGATAGTTTTGTTCCTCATACAAAAACTCAAATGTAAACACTGCCGAATGTAGTTCTGCTATCAAGCAAGAACCATCCTGGAACATCGACGATGCTTGACTGCGACTATAAGTGAGATGCTGTCGCGTTCCTGCAATACACAAACCATAGGACGGGTATTGCCACGAGTCATGGCACGCAGCAATGGGAATACGGAGTGTGGTAAAGTGGCTTAATCTATCAAAGTGGAAAAAGACAAAAGAAAAAGGTCTACATACGAGTTGTAAGTGATATACACGTGATATAGCACATGAAGGAGACTTCGTGGGTTGCGATTCTGATCCCTGTTACGTGACAGGTAATTATCGACAAAGTTTGGGGACAAGGCTAGCCTACGAGAGATCCCTCAATGCATTCAAAACTCAAGTTGACATGGCCATCCGAGATATGACCGGAAGATGCCATGCTGAGAAGAAAGCGTACGAAGCCCACCAGGCTACTCCTCTCACGTTTACTAAGGGCATGATGAATAATGAATGTGGAACATCTACAACGACCAGAGTAAGAAGGGGTCATTCATGCGGGCAATGACAGCGTTGGACCGTTGGCGCCCATCATCTCGAAGGTTGACGAATCGGGTACTCTTCCGGGATGGACGCTCATGCTGATTGATATGCACAAGAAAACATCTGAGCTACCTTGAATGTAGGAGCAGGCAACAAGAGTATGAAGCAATTGACGTTGCTTGCTTGAGACTTTCCCAACTAAGATTACTTAGTGCCTTTGCCCCAACCTTATTTGCTTAGCTTTGGGTTCATAAACACGATCATCACAACTCTGGTCTAGAGTTGTACAGATTTTCTCCCATTAGGTAAATGGGTCTCAGCGAACTCAGAACCGCATAAGCCACCCTACTTACATAGCGGCCCCACACTTTGATCTCTGCATGACGCCGTCGCCAGGATCTCCCTAAACAGCTTTGACACCTCGCATTGTCTATTAGACATGTTCCGTGTGCAGTTCCCCTCCATATCTTGCCTGCCGGATCCGCTGAGAAACCCGACAAAAGAACCGGTGAATTTTGAAAGAACTCCTGTCAGGTCGGTAAGCACGTGCGGCAGCAATTGTTCGCGTCTGTGGAACTTTCGTCTGATGGCTGAAGGCTCCCCTTCCAGCTGCCGCCGTGCCCTCCCGCGTTTCGCCCGACGTCTCCACTTCCGACCTTTCCTGATCAGGAATGGCATCGCTCGACTGTCCTTGTTTGCCCAGCTCGCTGTCACCAACTGGCAGAAACGTAGACGCGCAAGCTTCCATCTCGAAGAGGTCGCGCAAGTCGATCTCAGGTAGCCCGAGGAAGGAACCTTCTTCAACCGCGTTGATTGAACCAGCAGTGTCAGCGTCGCTCATGATAAAGTCCCCCATAATGCCCTCGACATCGTGGTTGAGTGGTGCTAAATCCGTCCGGTGTCCTTGTTTTGCTGGGTTGCTGGGGGGTTCGCCTACATCAGCCTCGTCTTGCTGGAAGCCCGACACGGTGCCGCAAAAAACAGCGGCGCCGCCGTCATCGGCCTCGACTTCGTATGGGGCATCCGCTTCCCCACTTGTGACTTCCTTCGCCGTTGCGTCTTCGTCTCCCACGGTATCGGGCGTTCCCCGCACGCTGCTTCCGACCTCCCCCACTTCGATGCTGTCGCCGATCTCCGCCGGACTTTGACCAGGTTCGGACGTTAACCTCTTTCGTCGACGGCGTGAAACCCGGCGTCGGCGTCCACAACCGTGCATCCCATTGACGAGTTCCGCCAGCTGGTTCGGATGCACGTCAGTTCAAGCCATTCATTCCAACAGCAGAAGGCTTCTCTGCCAAGACCTACAAAACGATTCACGTCGGGAATGCTTTGGCCGTCCGGTACGTGGACGGCTCCATCTAATTGACCGTAAGTCGGATTGAAATGGATGACGGCCGAGAACACCTGGGCTCCCTCGCCCAGCTGCACGGCCTTTCGTTTCCCGCTTGCCCCACATTTTCGGACCTTCTCTTTGGCCTTTTTGTCGTATGTGAAGACGATCTTGTCCGACGACACGGGGGCCATGGTGTTGAGAGTTGAGTGATCTACAATCCGAATGTGATCTAATGTATGATATTGCCCGGGAATAGCTATTGGGATGGGATTCTGTTGCCCTCAAGTACGACGATATGGAATAGAGGCCATTGCAGGCTTTGTGTTGGGCTCTGAAGTGAGCCAATTTGACATCTTGTGATTCGTACACCGCAGCTCTTTGTTGATCTTCGACCAACATCTACTCTTCTTCATACACTTCGAGCAGCTAGCAATGTAGCTTGCTGGCCCCTGTGGGGCGACCAGTCATTTTGGATTAGTCGACTTTGATTAGCCGGCTCACATGTGGACTTCAATCGAGAAAACATTCAAGGGACATATCGTGATGCGGCGCGGTAGCCAGATCATACCACATCAAAAAAGGCCAAACGCCGGTAAGCCCGCCACAGCACTATGCAGCCGCATCCGACCCTGGAATCTGGTCATGGTGAACAGAGAAATCGGTACCGCAGTTGATTTCTGATCTTTCCGGCGATCTTCCCCGGCAGAGGCACAAGCGGCAACGCGCAAACTTCGAAGTTGCCATGTTTGATGATGTACAGGGCGTTTACTGGGAATGAGAAAATAGCTGTACCTGGATGCGTCCCACGTATGAAGCCAAAACTGACTTTCGGGTGTTCAGATTTGATGGTTGATTGATTTCGGATGTTTATGGATGTTTGCACAGTTGCCGAGAAGCGACGTGGCACAACGTGGAAGCTCTGCATAGCGTCTCATTACCAATTTGCTCCTGGCATAAACACTTCACCCCAACAACTAGCCTACGAAATGGTTGTCCGGCCTTACAATTCTAGAAGCTAGCACGTCCCAGTCGCTGACGAACCTTGCGGACAATAAGGCGGCAAGAGGAAGAAAGAAAACACCCTGCCAAGTGGCTGACTTTACGGGACCAAAAATCAGCCAACAGCTCTTGCCACGATCAATCCTGCGACTAAGACAACTCGTAAGTAACTAATTGATTCGGGAGAGAAGAGGCGGGGTCAGCTCGAAGCGAGTGTAGTACTTACCGTTCGCCAAGATTTGCTAGCCACATCACGCAGAACAACCAAAAGTTGCCGAGTTGGAGATAAAACGAAGATGCAGAATACTCCAACCAGAGACCAAGTCCAGCGGCGCCAGTGAAAGTGATCTTTCAGCGCTATCACAAAACACCCACGACGTGTATAGGTTGGACTTGGGTGAGTCCACACGAATGATTTGGAATTAGATCGCAAGCGGTTCCATCTTGGATTCAACCCTCGACTCCCAATGGCCATCGCAATATCAAATCATCATGTCACCTAACGAGTAAGATACATTGACGCGAAGCACCGCCCCTGCCTTTTTGTAGTGCCAGACTCAATGCTGCCATATTTGATGATGAAGACTCTCACGCTGAGGCGAAAGACAGCCTACCAAAATTTTGGGATGCGAGATCGAGCTACGCATCAGCCGGCCAAAGGAAGGAGAGAACCTCGACGAAGTCAACGCTCGGCATATCCCCTCCGAGACTCGAGCTCGCAAGAGCTGAGATCAGTGCATTACATGAATGAAATTGTCACGAATTCGGAGCCAGCAGACTGGGTGTCTTGGGTTCTTCTGCGGGATAGCAAAGAACAACATAAGAAGATAGTCATGTTCATGATAACTGAGACAAGAGACAGAAAGCAGGCTACAAAGTCGCTCGGCTTTGACCGATTCCGTTCAGCAGCATCTCGTCGCATAGGCTCATTATTGCACAATGTGTACAGCGAAGGCATTCGACACGGGCTGGCGTTCAGGCTCTCTATCTTCCATATCCACCCGATCATGACATGACTACGTTTTAGTAGACGTGTTCATCACGACTAAGGTGGCCCATTTAGAAATACTTGGTCCTTCAAAGAGACTAGCCGAACGATGACCCTCAGGGGCAATGGCAACTTAACCATAGGTTGCCAGGATCACGCATGGGTTGACGGATCTCAGCGTTGTTGAATCCTGTCATAACGGGTCTACCAAGTTTGCAAGGGGGTCAATGAATTTTTCAACGTTGGCACCAAATAGGAGTAAAGGGTCGAGGCGAACACGTATAAAGACCACGAAACTGACGACACAAGATCTCGGCGAACAATCGTCAACACCTACAAAGCAAAACTAAGCCTCACGATAAACAAGAAATGGCTACCACCCACAATCCCGAGACGAACGTAGATAAAGGCCGCGGAGCGTACGATACCACGGGCGTTCCGAAGCCACCTCCCCGCCCAAAGTCGAGGTAGAAAACGATGAGGTCCGTTTGAATGGAAGTCTTATATTTACGCCTTCTAACAACGCGCGTCACAGCACTGGATCATTTCTGGATGCACGAGAGCGACACAACATCGTAAGCGATGGTCTTGGACCATACGGTGGTGGGCTGAGCCGCGACAGAGGAGAAGCTTGGGTTTGGAGTGTCAGTAACAAGTTCTGCTAGGACAAAATAGAGAGAAATCCATCAATTCTTTCACTTGCGTACAAATAAGCAGGCAATTTCTGAATACTACTTGATGTCTGACTTCGCTGCGCGCCATTCTACAAGTTGATCTGTCCATTTCATTCGGTGCATTTTCGAGAGCCTTCATTCCCTCAAGGCTTGCCCTTGAGCCCTGGTCCTTTAGGGGTGAGGGAGTTTTATATAGGAAGGCATAATAATTCGTGAAAGAAAACGTACAACTTCCACCCCGCCTAATACCGCACCATGGACGTAGTACAACAATGCGAGAGATCTCGTTAGGCACCAAGAGCGAAGACCTCGCACCTTTTATTGGGACTAAGCCAAAGGACGCGTCCACCGTACACAGTATTAACCACTTCCCTCTCTTGCGTGAGCTTTTGGTAATCGTTGTTGCTAGAAAGCGCCGAGTGGATCTAATGCAGCCGGTCCCATAGGTATACACCAAGAAAAAAGACAAAAAGGGCTGCAAGGTGGTCACAGCCGGCGCCATGTGAACCGGTTGCGCTGACGGGGATCGCCGCGGTCGTGTGCACCGTCGGCCTATGGTAGGTCCACGACGGTTGAACATCACCACCAGACGTCGTCGTCAAGAGACTGAGCGCGGTGCCGATGCTCGATGCATTGTGGGTGAAAGTAGCGTTCCAGGATCGATGGGGGGATTTCAGCCTGTCGGGAAGTGCAGTTGTATGGATTGCAGTCGAAGTTAACGCATCCCCCTCCATGGTACAAGTGCATATTTGAGGAAGCTCAGTCACCGTGCTTGAGGGCGGCTGAACGGTACCGACTGTAGGCGCAGCAGTGTACAGATTGGCAAACGCCCAGATCTCCATGGTGACGTTCTGTGTGTGGCTTAGTTCAGTGTATACACGAGGAGGTTGCAAAGGAGCTCATGGACCCTCATATTATTTATAGCAATCATAAACTGACGCCAAAACTGGCTGTAGGCTTACTACTGGCTAACTACAAGTGCTAATATACCTTAAGAGTTGAACCTGATGAGGTTGCTGTCAAATATGGCTGATGTAACCGGCAATGTTGAGCATAAATAGTTCCGGCACCATGAGGCCTAGAAAACCTTCGTATTCTCAACCTTGCAACTTCGGAAAATGACACCATCGTCTCCGCCAGATCCCCTTATTGTGCAGGAAGAGCAAGCACTTGTCGATGCATGTGCGTATGCAAACGTTTTGCTTTGTCCCGCAAGTGTATTCTCAAAGTCTACATCACCAGCATATCCACGGAGGTTTCCCGGACCTACTCTGTTTCAACTAAGGCTGGAAGAAGCGAACAAATTTGCGAAAACGATGTTATAGAAAGCCGCCATTCACCGTTTCGCCCAGAGAGCACGTTTTATCCCGTCAACACAACATTGTTGTCAAGCCAGGTGATTAGTCTTAGAGACTTGGAGATTAAACTAGATCCGAGCCGGGCTTCGGGTGTCACAGTTTATACAAAGCGGACAAAGCAGACAAAGCATCGCAAAAAACTTCAGCCGTGATGTCAAAATCATGATTCCTCCCATTCAGCACCAGTCTGCGAGGGTTGAGGCCACTATGGCACGGATGTATTCAAGCAAAAAGCTTTGCCATGTAGATGCTCATTTTACCAAAGCCTGAAACCTAGAAGGGGGATGGCGACATGTAATCAAGAAATGTGCGCCTTGCAATAATGAGTGTATTTTAATAAAGCTCAAAGAGAGGCTATACGGACTGTCGCACAACCCCAAGCAGATTCATAGCTATGTTCTTGTCTGCCTTTGACATGGCATACAAAAAACCGAAAGTATTGCAATGCGGCTCTAGAACGGTCGATAATAGAGAACTCTTTCTCGTGATGTGAGCTAATCAACCGCATGCAGACGTTCAATTGGGCGACCACTGGAAAACAGGCGGGCAACTCCAAACACCAAGATAGACGCCCACCACACGACCATCCTCCGCCGAGAAATAGCACACCATTTTACCATTGACGAGCTCCGTAATGAGTCTGCCATGCGTCACCCAGCTGAACGTGGCCCCAGGCGTGACCGGCTCGTGCTGAACGGACATGCCAGGATTGCCCTTCTTCTGCCTCTTTTGGCTGGCAAAAAGTCAGACTTCAAGTATGTGAAAGGAGCTAGATCAGAAGCGTACTGTGAACGGCCCATACCAGATGGTATCTCTTTCCGCTTGGGGCAGAAGCAGAAAGTCTCGGATTATTTTGCTCGTCGTACGCGTCGTCTCAGCTCAAGAAGGTCCTGTCAGTAACTTGAAGAGATGTTCAGATACAACGAAACTCGGTCTTTGACAAAAAGTCCGCCATGTACTTCAAGTTTGCTCCTCGTGCAGTAGTGTTTGAATAGTCACGACGAAATTGTGAATACTAGCGAACCTTGTTCACTGGTATTCTGTCTCGAGGCGTACATATCAAGTGCTTTGGGGCATGGCTGGCTACTGCAAAGCTTCCTCTGAAAATGGATGCCGGTAAAATTCTGGCTGAGTACGGCACATGAAGAGTGCTGGTTCTGCGCGATTGATCGTGCAAAAATTTGTTTAGTGTACTGTACATAGTGAACCTCGTTGTGATGTGTTGCTACAGGCCAAGCAGGCCAATCAGCGGCACTTGTGGCTAAGACAATGCGCCGCTTCACACGCTGACTTCCTTATCCACATCGACGGCCATGGAAGTAGACACGGTCCGAGGCTCCACTTGGAATGACAGATTCTAGAACGTTACAGAAACGCTCCCAACGATATCCATCGGCGCTTTCTCGTCGAAATTGGCTCCAGGGTCCATCACTTTGCTGTGCTGGTCTGAGCGCAGTTGCCCCACTACCCGAGGAAATAGATCCTCCTCTTTCTGGCCCGTGGCTACAAACTGACCTGTCAAAGTGGCTTGAGAGCGAGTATTGAATGTGGCGTGTTCTAGACCCTTCCAACTACGTACCCCGTCATGAGCAAGGATACTCCAGAAATGACATGTGCGTTTTGGACGTACGGACACACCAAATCAACCGATAGGACGGGAGTTGCACCTCAGCGGCACATACGACCATCGCAACTACCTACAAGCCCTGGTGAAGCGTTCCTTGACGAAGCGCCCCAGTGACGATATTGTCATGAATGCTCAGCACGGGGATCCAAACGACTTTTTTTTCGTAGCATACTACATGATGGCTACTCCTCCGCCGAGTATCACGCGAAGCAGGAGACCGACAAGCTTAAATGACGCAGTCGATGCCGTGATCCTGCTACCGTATTAGACTACATCTTCACGTTCATCCGGCCTCATTTCCGCTCGAGAATCTGCGACTATTAGATCATCGGCCACACGAATTTTTCCCTTTCAGATTTCTTATCGCAATGGAGGGACAGAAGGCAAACACGCACAAAGCAGACGTCATCGTTATTGGCGCAGGTTTCAGTGGTTGTTACGCTTTATTCAAAATTCGGGAGGCAGGATTCTCTGCCAAGATTCTTGAACGCGGAGACGACTTCGGCGGCGTCTGGCATTTCAATCGGTATCCCGGTGCCAGGGTTGATTCAGACACGCCCGCCTACCAGTTCAGCTTGCCCAGAGTCTGGGCTGATTTCCACTTCACGGAGCGGTTTCCTGGTTGCGAGGAAATCCGCAAGTACTTTCGACACGTCGATGCAACGCTGGGTCTGCGTCAGGACACCATTTTCGACGCTCAAGTAGACGAGGCGAAGTACGACACCGAGGCCGGGCGCTGGCAGTTCAGGACGACCAAGGGGCTACGTGCGACGTCCAAGTATGCAATATTCGCATGCGGCTCGATGAACAAGCCGTACATGCCACCTTTCCCAAACCAAGACCTGTTCGATGGGCCTATCATACACCCGTCTGCTTGGCCCGACAATCTCTCGCTGACGGGCAAGAAGATCGGCATCGTCGGTCAGGGCGCGTCCGGCCTGCAAATCGTGCAGGAGCTTGCACCACTCGACTGCGAGCTGACGGTTTTCGTCCGAAACCCTTGTATCGCGGTTCCGATGCATCAGAGACAGCTGTCGTACCGAGAGTCAGAGGAGATGAAACACTATTACGACGCCATATTCGCAAAGGCCAAGTTCGGCTCGTCTTCGGCCCTCCCATACAATCAGAATTCTGACTGGCTGCGCTGCGCGACAGAGACCGAACGAAACGACCTGTTCGAGCGGTTATGGAACAGGGGTGGCCTCGGCCTCACGCAGTCGAACTATCGCGATATCGTGTTTGACAAGAAGGCCAACGCATGCTTGTACGATTTCTGGGTTCGAAAAACGCGAAGTCGGATGACGGACCCCAAGAAGATGGACGTCGTCGCGCCTTTGCAGCAGTTTGAATGGTTCGGATCAACACGCGTCAACCTTGAGAAGAACTACTACGAGGCGCTGGACCAACCGAATGTCAAAGTGGTGGACCTCAAGGAGACGCCGATCCAGTCCTTTGACAGGCAAGGGATTCTCGCCGGGAGCTCTGATGTCGCTACACACCACGACTTGGACGTTGTCATCATGGCTACCGGCTACGACGGCGTGACAGGTAGCCTGCTGGACATGAACATCCATGACAAGAATGGCGTCCGGCTGGAGGATGCTTGGAAAAGCGGCATCAGCACGTACCTTGGCATGATGATCCCCGGCATGCCCAATGCATTTATGCTGTATGGGCCGCAAGGGCCGACGACGCAGACCAACGCGCCGCCTTTCATTGAGCTCCAGGTTGACTGGGTGGTAAGGCTCCTAAAGCGGATGAGCCAGGATCATGTGTATTCCATCGAGCCCTCGGAGGAGTCTTGTGAATTTTGGAAAGGTCTCGTAACAAAGGCCTTTGAGTCAACCCTTTTTCGTGATAGCACCGCGTGGTGGACCGGCGCGAACGTCCCGCGCAAGAGAGTCAAGCCACTGGTCTATCTGGGTGGGGTCCAGCCATGGAGACAGTTGTGTGACCGGTCTCTGCGTGACTGGACGGACTTCATCGTGTCGTAGGAGCAGAATAGCTTCGATTATCGTAGCCTGGCTGACGGGAACTTTCATTTATCTACTCTGAATGCCTATCATGTGTCAAACTCTATCGTCAACACTGTAACAAACTGTGACTTCCTGCGGTGAATTCAGAGACGCGGTGACCTGGAGACGAGCTGTGACTAATGGCATCGCATTCTGGTCTATGTCGACTACGAGTTATTCGTGCACTTTGGTACAAAGATAAAGCTCATCCATCTCAACTCGTTTATTTGGCAGTATGCGTGCGAAACCGAACGGTGATTGAACCTCAATGGATAAGGGGATACCGATGTTTTCCCATTCATCGGCACGCGACCACATCTTACACCACGCGAGATGCCTCGTCCGCCCGTTCATTGCTGTTAGTAGTAGCGTCTCTCACGTGATTTCCAAGAGTTTTGAACGGCAAACGAAGACTAGACTGCTGTATAGCTGGGATACGATGTAGACATGCCGCTGTCTTAAACAAAGCTGCTGGCCGTGCCTCTAGGGGTAAGTCCCGCAGGCGGCGGTTTTTGCAGTTCCCACCAGGGAGGTTCGTCCTGAATGCGGACCTGGCCTTCATCAAGTTCGCCAGTGCCGGCCCTTTTGAATCTCAAGGCACCTTTGACTTTCTTGAAAGAGGCAACTGTGCTAAACGTTAGAAATATTTTTGGATAAGGGTGGGCATAACTTCAATGTACATATGAACGTCAGCCGAACAGCGATCTCTTTGAACAAAGCCTTGATTTTGTCGACCAAGGTGACAGTATTTGGACTCTTCGAGCGGAGACTCGTCATTGTGGGTGCAACTTTCGTAGGCGTGGTGGTTAACAAATATGTCGGAAGAAGTACGTCTGCGACGGGCCGATAGACGCTGGGATGGTTCAAGGAAGATTCCGAAATCACAACCAGATCAAAGGCCAGCAACCTGAGCGACGGCTGTGTTTTTATACTGTTCAAGTCTTGGCAGACTTTCGTGAAAGCCAGACAGCTCAGCCGGGTTAAAGCGACACCCGAAGGCTGTCATTGATCGGTAGACCAATCATCAGAGAGACCCGCGTGGCGTTTCCAGGACCTATTCGATGGCTCCTTGATTACGCTCTGTGCTTCGAATCGAGGGAGCGATGGATCGCCGCGGGAACCTTGAAGAATGCATGACCCGGGTACTGAGAACCGCAAGGGCGCACGCTGAACACCTGAACCAACAGCAATCTGCCACATTATGCTTGAGAGAACGGACTTACCAAAAAACAGTTCTTTCAATGGCAAAAGCGTTTCTTTGACGGCGAGATCGACCGAGTCTTAATAACTCTTCAGCTTGGAGAAACACCATACACATGATTCGTCGGTGATCACCAAGCTGAGCCGTCCCCGAACAGAAACCACTGGCCCGCTTGCTGGTTTCTATTATATCCGTAACCTTGCTCGAATGAATGCGAGCGATACATTTGTTTCATGGTACTGTAGCTCTAACTTATGAGGTACCGTATGGATGTTTGTCGCATAAATTTATGCCATAATGAGGATGAGCTCCAGGCGACATTCTCCTTTCATGAGGACCAGACAGTGTGGAGGTTTCCCTGAGACTCATTCTGCTGAAATGCACTTCTGGCTTCCCCCTACTTTCCTTCTCTTAGGCCATGATACGTCAGTTTGCATTCACTTACAGTACTGTACTGCAGTCAGTTTTGGGAGAGGGTCGAGTAGAAGCCGGGTCTGCCTCTTTAAGCAAGAGGTTGTTGTGCTGCGTATGGCGGACACCCCTCATCGCCAGCTTTGTGCCCACT